AATTTTGTGTATTCTCTACCTAATAAAAGTTCTTTTAATAATAATACACATTATTGAGTAATTATTAAAATTTAATTTCATATAATACTGATGAATTTTCAGTATATTATTAATAGCATTCACAGATATAATAAGCTGGCATATGGTCTAAATCAGATATAATTATAAAGAGTAATATGGGTAAAATCCTAGTATACGGTGCAACCTTGGCACGATTTTGAAAATTATCGCCAACCCAAACAATGACCTAAAGAATGTCTATGTATATATTATACCACTATATACTATCATTATATACATATATATACTATGTATAACTATATATATTCTTTGAATGACCCATTTACTTCTCGTCATATATGTCCCGTTTTTACTGCTCATCATAAAAGTCATTAAAAGTAGCCAAATCCCATGTGCACCGGATACTAGGATTAAACCGTAATATGTACTGTACAATAATATGCTGGAAAATTATTTATTTAAAAAAATTATGTGGGGATTGCTTGGTTTTCAGTTGATTGTTAAAGGGCACCAGTATGGTTTGTTATAAAATTCCTGTGACAGAATATTCATTGATAAGCTATATTTAAATACTGTAATGGAACTCTGGAAGGTAATTTAATTATCACTTATGTATACATGAAATATGCAGTGGAACTAATCAGTGCCGGATCGCTTAGGCCATTTTGTAACGTAATCAGTGACAGCGGGAATATATTTGCTGCTATTAGCAGATCGTGTCAAAGATCCCAGGATGTCGGCGAGTTCAAAAAGCACTCCCTTACACTGTAACGTTGCCGCGTTCCTCGGCTGTTTTCTTTTTTATTTGCACACCTTTACCTGCTAGTATCTGCAGCAAGTTGCAGAGAATTCTGACTTCTCTTCGTACGTTTATTCACCGATAAAGCTATTTTTGCATGTTCGGGTATGTTTAATATCCATAATCCTTTAACTGCATGATATTCTACACGGCCCGAGATCGTATGCTTGTTAGGAACGGTTTTCACTAATATTTTGGCCAGCATAGAACATAGCTGCTAAATAGAACTGTTCATTCTATCTAGTCGCTTGAATGGCTGCAGGTAGAGCATCTTTCTGCAAAATATCTTGCTCGAGCTACTTTCTGATGTTCCAGCAACTGCATTCTTAAGAATATGGTTCCAACTTGATACAGCACTAGCCCATTTCAACAGAAACATCAGAAATTACCTTAACGCTGCCTGCTGGATCTCTCATTGGTTCGGATGGGAAAGGGGATTTGCTCATTAGTCATCGAGATCACTAGATTTGATATGCATTGATTTCGTGTTGTGGGTACACATTAACGGCACGAACCGTGAACGTCCCATGGAATCCCATAAAGGTCTGGTAGCCAGGCTGTCCGTTACTGTAGGAAATGTACGTGAAATACTTTTTGATGGGCTCATTTATTAAATTGTGTATATCTTTTGACTTTATTGCGCTCCGGGTGTGCATACTTTCTGTACGTGTCCGCTTACACGTGCCATTTTTGCTCATACAATTAATTAAATTGGTTATTTCCGTCTTCTCCACTTGCCCTTGCATTTTTACCAGATGTTTTAGAATCACTCGGTGTGTATATATATATATATATATATATTACTGCATAAATTCGATTATATTTTGAACTTTTATATAGGGTGGTAATAAATGCCATGATTTACCAGTCTGCGGTAATAAAAATAATTGCAGTTTTTTCTTAGAAGAGTTTTATGAAACCCTGTTTAAAATTTTAAATTCTTAACAGTCAGTTCTGCTTAAAAATTTGTGTATCACGCTCGAGTTATAAATAACTAGAAAGCCCGGCGGTCATACGAAATGACCGCTGTTCTAGATATTATAAATTGTAATTAAAATGATTTGTGCAAAGGTGTCTTCTAATTCAAACACAATTAAGGGGACTCATACACCTTAAAACCCATAAGATGTTTGAATAGGTGACTGTTGCATGAATTGGGATAACTTATTTATTTTAAAAGCAATTACTTCCATCATTTTGCAGCTGACTATATAATATAGCTGCCTTCTGAAATAGTAATCATAAAGTTAGTGTTGCCACAAGTATTTTTATAATTTAATCCGCTTTGTGAGAACATTTTTCGTCATGTTTCCAACTTGCGCGCACAGTTTAAAAGATTGTTTCATAATTTAATTCCATATTTAATATATAGCTTTTATAACATTTGGAAACTACTGTGAACCTAAAATTTTAAAAATTTCATGTTAAATTTTTATTTTATTTTGAGTTGAGTTTATAAAATGTATTTTATTAAAAAAATTTGTAATGTTTTCGTCCATAAAATTTTTCAATATTAAAATATTCATCAGATTGTTGGTTCAGTTAGAAAATAGTGCCCATATAAATCAAGTATGTACCATTAGCCATTTTTAAAATATCATGCGCGCAAGGTGGAAAATGGCGAAATATTTTGTCACAAAGAGTATTAAATTATAAAAATATTTGTGGCAACACAAACTTTCTGGTTACTAGTTTCCAAAGCAGCTATATTATGTAGTCAGCTATAAAAAGTTGGAAATAATTGCTTTTAAAAAATAAAATATCCCAATTCTTGCAACAGTCACATATTCGAAGATCATGATGGGTTTAAGGTGTATGAGTCCCCTTAATTTAAATTAGTTTATTTAATGCACAAAATGAATTTTTGTTTAAAATGCAAAGTGTAAATACTTGATCCCACTCCGGCAAGAATACTAAATAACAAATATCCTCGTGAAGAGATTCCGTGGAATAAAGATATAATTACAGTTGTAAACCATTTCAAAAACAGATGATTGCCAGTGCAAACAAATGTTCACGTTTCCCCTGACACGCTCAATATGCGTTCAGCTGAAAATTCAGTTTAAGTACAAAATCAGATTTAATAATTTTAAAAGAAAATGCATTTATTGGCAACATTTTATTTGTAAGCTGAAATAAGAAGGATAGGAAAACAGCTTTAGCTAAAGATAACTGTTGAAAACTTGGGATAAGCCTTGCAATGTAAGAAATTAACTTATTCGTATAATGTAATTTTATTTGTGTTCATTTGTTAGTAGGTTAAAGAAAGATACTTTCATGCTTGTAGTTTTCTTTTGAAATTTAATAATCTGAATAATTTATTAAGAAAATTTGCGCATGAAAAATACAAAATGAAATTTAAGCTTAAAATTTCGATTTTCGAAAAATTGCTTAGCAAGTAAGAGTGCTTTATTGTAGGTGGCCTACGATTATTTCGCAGTTTGATTAATATTTAACTTTTATATTCTACTGTATGTCATATAGTATTATCTTTCGCAATAGAGGATTATCACCTTTATTTTTTTATTTTACTACTAATGTAGTAAAATTTTACGTGGTTTTTATTTTACTACTAACGTTAGTTTCTTAGAGATCTAGAAACAAGTACATGGCATTTTCTGTAAGTTACTTTAACGTTTTTTAGGATAATATATTATTTAGAAATTTTTCCCGCCTTTAAGAATAGAGGAACCTACAATGTGAATTCACATTAAACTAAAGAGCCAATTTTTGCGCTGAAAAAGCGCAGAAATTGGCTCTTTAATTCAATTAAAGAAATCGATAAGGTATTGAAAAATACCTTATCGATTGTTTCTTTAAAACTGTCCAAAAATCAGTTACTATTAAATGGAGTATATTTACTATTTTGGTTAAAAAAGTTTATTATGAATGTTTTACTATCTTAAAGTGAAAACAAATTTATCAGTTCATTTTTTAATATTGGGAGTAAATTAGAAATTTTTACTTTTTTTTATGAGTTGCAATCTGTCTTAGTGGCTGTCATTAACGCAAGTACATCGCCAGTTATTTCAAGCGTATGAAAACAGCGTTTATTTTAGGTAGCAAATGACGTTTTACCAGAAGAAATGCCTACTTTAAATACTCATTTTGAAAACTGCATTTTTTAAAATTAGAAGTCGAAATAAATATTTATTATTAAATCAGTTTAAATAATAATTTTTAAACATATTTTGTTTGCCAAAGGGGCAATTTGCCCAGTAATTTCGTTTTTGCATTTTGCGTTGATTCACTTTTCAAATGGTTGCCACCAAATATTATCGGCCTGTATTATATTTGAAGAAATTAAATAATGAAGAATCTGTATAAAATCTGTGTATATATTTCTAGCATTGTGATAAAAACAACGGTACATAGAGCCATCAAAATTTGAATCATGTAATCTTCCTGTGAATATGGGCATCTGGAAGTCCAAATTTGGAATTTGTTTTATTATCGATTTCATATTTTGTAAAATTTTAACGAATTTTTGATTAAGAAACTCAAAGCTTTCAAAGCGAGCAATGGCAACGTATCTCCAACGCTCGAGACTGTGTATCGGAAATTCTAAAGGATATGCTCATTTAAAAATTGTTTTGCGATATTGCTCTTGAACTGAATTTGGTAAAAGTTTATAATTGGGTGCCCCTTGTTTTTTGGGGATTCTTTTTTGGACGCCAGGATCGGTGCCAGGAAAGCATAATATCAAGATGGACGCTACACAAAAACAAAATAATAAGTCAAAGAATTGCATAAACTCGGTTTTCATGCACACATCGATCTATTTTCATTTAAAAAAATCAGAAATGCACAAACTAGGCATTGCTTACTGCCTTAACTTTGTCCATGTATACGTCGATCTATTTTCATTAAAAAAATCGGGAAGCTAAAACAAAGTTAAAACTATTATGGTAACTAGAAATCGGGTTTCAAAATTGAACAAAATTTGTCGCTAATCGAAGGGGCACCCAATTCTGCACTAGAGCCCTGAATTTTATGATTTAAGTGCGAAGAACGTGATATTTCATAAATAAAGGTAACATACAAAACGTTAAAAAAACGCCCCTTTGGACGTAATTTAAAATCTGAAACCTTTCAGATTTTTTTTTATTCAGGATTGTAGTGATGATTTTTTATACAGCTTCTAAAAGCTTCTTTTGACAAACATTGAAAATTATATTAATTTACAGGATCGATCCAGTTATTCTGACCAAAGCAGAAGCCACTGAGATCCTTTCAAAAGAAGGCCAGAGACCTGGAACCTATCTCCTTTACGAAGACATAGAAAAAGAAAGAATATGTCTCTCTTTCAGGTATCTTACTTATTCTTTCGTATGTATGTTGACTTTAATGGATAGTGTCATTAACATTAATTTTCGTAATTACGTCATTAATGTCACCGGTAATAAGTTATTTACCGAAATTATTGAATTTGACAGAGAGAGGAAAATACCATACGCTCGTTTAAAATATAGACGCACATTAAATGTTATCTGTATTTCTTATCATGTCTATGATAAATTTAATCATCATATCATTTGATCATATACTTGAGCATAGAGTCATTTGCAACTGTTTTTTTTATCAGAATGTTTAGGAAGATTGCCGAAAGCTTCATTATCGGAATGATAAATCCGGTATTTATTCAGGAGTAGAACTGTTATCGATGCGGGAGACATTAAGATAACTTTTTTTTTTGTACAATTATCAGCAATATTATTTTAATCCAAAGACTCAGCTAAAAAAAAAAAAAAACTTGAGTTTCATTTTTAAATAAGTTTGCAGTTTTCCAGACATTATTCGTATATTCTGTAATTACAGTTTAACACCGATTTAACATATCTTTTGATTAGCGCTTATTTAGAATGCTCCAACCCAACACGTATGAAAACAGTGTTTAAATCTTAATTTATGGATAGATTGCTTCAATTTTAGAATGGCACCTTATGTTTATGAATACTTTTATCATTTCTAGAGTAATGTGATGGTCTGAAGTTGGGCTGAAATTCGCATTTTTTCTTTCTTATCACCAGTTTTAAACTTTCATTACAAAAATGACAAGTTGAAATTCACAAATTTAAATAAGAATTTTAGCACTTCGGGATATGCGTTCACGGTTAAATCTGAATTAAGACACATCAGTGTAATTTTTGTAAAAGGTAATTTTTGTTAGTCTCTTGAGAATCACTAAATCGGTTTTGACTGTAGTTTGTTTGAGTTAGACGAAATGATTGTTTAAACACGTAACTCGCACACATCTTGATGGTGAGCGAAACCTAAAAACGTATTACATTTTAAACTGAAGATCTAAACTAAATCTAAATTGTAATTAAAATGATTTGTGCAAAGGTGTCTTCTAATTCAAACACAATTAAGGGGACTCATACACCTTAAAACCCATAAGATGTTTGAATAGGTGACTGTTGCATGAATTGGGATAACTTATTTATTTTAAAAGCAATTACTTCCATCATTTTGCAGCTGACTATATAATATAGCTGCCTTCTGAAATAGTAATTATAAAGTTAGTGTTGCCACAAATATTTTTATAATTTAATCCGCTTTGTGAGAACATTTTTCGTCATGTTTCCAACTTGCGCGCACAGTTTAAAAGATTGTTTCATAATTTAATTCGCTCGTTTAAAGCGTCGCACCGTCATGAAAAGCGTTTAAAGCGTCTCGAGCTGGAAAGCGTCGCACCGTCATGAAATACACCGGCACTTGTATACGAGCCACTGTTAAAAAAAATAAACTTTCATAAAAGTGCCCCAACATAAGGCTGCCACACTGTTATACAAATCAGTTTGTAACATTTCATAAAGGAAAAAAATTATTTCCCTTATTAATCCCCTCCTTTTATAATATTTTTCCCCTTGAAGCTAGAGAACCGCTTCTGGGTTGGCCCATTAGAAGATTGCTGAGGCACCACTTATGGGGAAACTAAGAACCCCCCCCCCCCCCCCCCCCCCCCCCCCCCCCCCCCCCCCCTACCTGTACGACAAACGTGTGGTTGATAGGAAACAATTTTGAAGGCTTATAAGGAAGTTTATTCAGGAAACTAAGTCAACTACCTGCTCTACGCTCACACACCGTGCGTGTGATTTTGGGTACTTTAATTTTGTTTCGCCCATATTTTTTCAAGCTGTTCAGTTTACAATGAATGCAACTAATTGTATTAATTCGATGAGTGAATATTGTATATCAAAGCCAATATTTCTTGTTCTATTGATTTTCATGTTCTGTTTGAAAGCGAACGCCCATCGTGTTTCTTTGCGGACATTTTTGCTTCCAAAATATAATGTGCAACTTGATTTATATTTGTATTATTTTCTTAAGAAATTAACTTAAATTTATGTTGCATCATTAATAAAAATATTGTGCGTGCGTACGGGTTCGTAATAAACTGAACGCACATGTCCGTAATAGGTTAATATAATTAATTTTTATCAAAAAATATATTTAAGAACTCTGAAAGTTTCCTCAGAAATATTCGTACAAGTGTTCACAGAATAATCAGTAGCTACACTTCAAACTACTAAAAACGTTAAGCACAAGGAAATGCAAAGCGCATCTAAAGAGAAAGCTAAGCCGGATATCTCAGCTTACACGGAACTCAATAACTAGCAACAGCAATAACTAAGCAGTTGAAAGCAGATGCTCTCTCTCCGGGCGTTCATAATTTTAACCTGGCGCCGAGATATATTTCTGGTACTTTCTGCTACCCGAAATTACTGGAAAGCAATATGAAGGTGGAATTGGAGTATAGTGGTCAATTACACTTATTCAGTTACAATACGTATTACGGTGATAAGCGATCGAACCAAAATTTCGCCAATTAATAGCCAAATTTGGCAACAACTTTTGGAGATTTCTCGCCAGATATGGCTACAAAATTAGTCGCCATGACCGTTGTCAGTTTGGCGATATCGCGCCAAATTACCGAGATACCCATTTACTCGATGTTAAATGCACTTGGTTCTGTATTCTTACTTTTCAGGCATACATTTCTCTGAAAATTTGTCTTGCGCTGCATTACATAGAAAAATACAATTTTGCTTACAGTTCTACTAAAATTACCTAAGTACAAAATTCGTAATAATATTTTAAACCATAAATAATACTGAATGTAGGCAACTTGTTGATGGTGATTCGAATTTCGAATTAGCCGAAATATTAAATTCCTGCAAATGATTCTGTTGGCTGTATAAGTCATTTAGAGAATAATTTTAGTGAAGAAGTTTAGTATCAAGCAGGAAGTGACTGAAGAAATTTCGTGGAAATTAATTGTGTATAACTTTTATTTCTTACGCTTAGATTTGCTCTGTTGCTAATCCTGCATTTTAGGTTTATGATGCCTTTATCAATGACTACTTGCTTCATGTTATTATTCTGGAAAAAATCCTAAGGTATAAATACAGGTTTAAGCAAAGCTAGCACCTGTGCATTCCCATAAGTATATATATTAGATATCACCGGGTCTTGATAACTGTTAAGTTTCTGCCACGATTCTGAGAAAGAACACCCTAGGAGTTAAGCTGGATTATTCAATAAGCAAAATAACCCCGTCTAGGAAAGGGAACAAAAATTTTCGATTGCCAGTTTTACCGTGGAATGTATTCTGTAGTTAAACTAGATCGAGAGTGAAAGAACTTGGGAGGGGGGGGGGAAGGAAGCCTGTTGTAAATATATATAGGGGCACCAAAATCTTTTAAATACTTAAGGCCTCTAAAAATCTTTATATCCTCATAGCCCTCCATTATTCTTCCACCGTCTTTTTAAGGAGTTTTCCCCTTCCCTTCTTACTTAAACTACTCCCTTTATAAAACATGCTTTCTCCTCTGCGATTTGAACTGGGTACCCATCGGGTAAGCAACAGAGAGCTTTGGGCAGCAAGCCCTAGATATGCTTAGAATAACAAATTTATGTTTTTTTCAAGAGGCTATTTCAGATATTTTTCAAAAATAAATTATGGGTTAAAGCAGTAGAGCAATCCGGATGTGAAAGAGTTAACTGCGGCTGAGAATTAACTGCACCTAAGATTCATTGCTTCAGTAATAAACATTAAAACTGTTCAAAACGAAAATTTCAGTTATTTTACAGGTGTTTGTAAATGTGGCGATAAACTCTGGGGGAATTACTAACTGCACATTAATTAAAATGGATAAGAATTGCATAGGACTTCATGCCCGAAATGTCAGGGCAAGTCTTGAACAGCTTAATTATCGTTATACAGGGTCTCGTGCATTTGAAATGTTTCTTTAGCTGAATAACTGTTTAATGTAGTACAGATTACTATAGGCAATAGGCATTGCCCCGAAGGTCAGCTGCAAGTTGTTCTCGCCAGAAATATCGTTATTAATCTTTCTTTTTTTTTGAAATAGATGAGTTTAAATATGTACGTTTTCTCATTTTGTTTGCGTTTCGATGTCGAATATCTTGCAGTATGTAATTATTTTTTTTTTTTTTTGTCTTGTCTTTCACTTTTTGTTTTGTATGTGGATGCTGAGCTAAAAAGAAGATATTTACCCAGTCTTACATTATTTTTTGAGGCACTTCCACCGAGATCGAATAATCGTGCGTATTTTTATTTCATAGTTCATCACTGAATATAATATTAGTGATACCAGATTATACTTCCTGTTGATATTGCTGCTTATTTTATTAGTTCATCACTGAACGTAATATTAGTGATACCAGGTTATTTACTTCCTGTTTGATATTGAATTGCCTTATTTTATTAGTTCATCACTGAACGTATATATTAGTGATACCAGGTTATTACTCCTGTTGATTTTTAAATGCCTTATTTTTTAATTCATCACTGAACGTAACTTCCTGTTGATATTGAATTGTTTTTATTTATTAGTCATCACTGAACCATAATTTTAGTGATACCAGGTTATTACTCCATTACTCCATTGTTTAATATTGAATTGTCTTATTTTATTAGTTCATCACTGAACGTAATATTAGTGATATCAGGTTATTACTTCCTGTTAACACTGAACTGCCTTATTTATTAGTTTATCACTTGAACGTAAACTTAGTGATACCACATTTTAATGCCGTTTCTACTAGAGCTCAAATCAAAGAAAAATAGATGAAGAGAAGATCTTGGAAACGATGAAGGAAGAAAATAAAGCATCCAGAGATGTATTGAAGAAGAAGTTAAATCACCGGAATTAAACGTGGAAGATGTTCACGAAAATTTGAAAAACGATAAAGAAATTAATATTGAGAATCATTTGCAATGCAACGTTATCATCAACGATTTATATCAAAGCCTCTACTAATAGACGAAGAAAACAAATGT